ATGAGTCTTCCTGTCTGGAAAGCCCTCACACAATGGGGAGTAATTCAGCACAAGTGCACCCATTCATCAGGCAGGTTTGCTTCTAAGAATGCGTCCTGAGGACAACAGACTCAGTGTTCATACAAACAGGGTTCATTCAGACGTTGAAGAAGGTGATGTTCTACGTGTCGGCTTTCATACCGTCCCAAGACACACAAGGGCAGGTTAGGGAACAGCCTGGTAACCTGCGGCCTATTCCAGTGATGGGATGATGGGACACCAGTTAGCGGCAAAGCAGAATAAAGTCATGATCCAGACAAGACCACGGATAAACCTCAAAGTCACGCTGGCTGAAAAGGGCCTGGTATAAAAGTACACACCGGACGCTTGTGAGTAAGTCACTGGGAGAATCCGAGCAAGGTTTGTCTCTGTGGGCAGTGGGAAGAAGTGGGAATTGCCCGGGAAGGCCGGAGGGAAGTTTCTGGGATGTTGGTAGTGGTCTCCGTAGGAGACCTTCCCGATAACAGCTCATCAAAACATATTTTGTGTGTGTATTATATGTGGTATTCTTACAATAGAACTAGAGAAGAGAAAACGTTATTATGAAGATCGTTGAGATTTACAGGACTTACCGTATTTACTGAAAAAACGCAGGTGTATGCCTTTGTCAAAATTCCGTGAATGTGCAGTAAGAGGTGTGCTCTCGTCGCGTGTGATCTTACATTAGCATCAGCGGGCGAAAGCACCGAGCAGATCTGGGGATTTAGGCGTGCGTGCCGAAGAGTGCAGAGGGGGGAGGGGTGCGGTGCCTGCCCCGAAAGTAAAGTGAATCAACCGAGGGAGAGACAGAGATGTGATGACATCAGACGCTAATGCTGGACCCCAGGCACTTCCTGGCAGATTCTTCCAACTTTGCTGAAGGTTTGAAAATATTAGGGGACAAATGTTTTTAAGAAATAGCTGTCTCATGTGTATGACAATATTCTCTGGTAGAAGGAAACGAGCCCAGTCGTAGACACCGGTTGCGTGCACAGGCTGGGCACGGTCTGGAAGAGCAGGGTGGAACCAGTGTTAACAGTGGCCACGTCTGCGCAGGAGGGTGGGGGCCGGACCACAGGCTTCGCACGCCCGTCACGCACGTCTGCGCTGTTTGGGACTTCACAGTGACCGTGATTTCCTGTCGTCCTACGACAAACTAAATCAGGATTCGGTTTTTTGCAAAAGGCAAAAGTGAAAATGTTAGCAGTTACCTTAGGATTTGGGGTAATTTTCACTTGCAATTTGCTGTATTTTTATGTTTTTTTTTTTTTTTTATGGCAAATACACGTTCTCTTTTGTTGGTTTTTATTTTAGTTAGAAAAATATTTACTGTATTCCCATTCTCAGAAACAACACCAAGCACTTACACGATACTTCTTGAGGTTACAGAACTAGGTTTTGTCTTCATTTTTTTTTAATATTAATGAATTTGTTCTGCATAGACTCTGGAGGCTACCTGCTTTCACGAGTGACAGGAAGAGCAGAATATAGGTGAAATGCTAGAAATCCATGAAAACCACCAAATCAGTCTCCTGCCGTGTTCAGGTGCTCCCGTGTATTTGTCGGTTATCAGAACTACGTGTTGGGCACCATCAAGCACTGGGACGTACTGATGAACAGGGTGACACAAGTCCTTTTACTCCCCAAACTTACCTTCTGCAGTAAAGGTGAGCTGTAAACAGCTATCTCATACAACATCAGGGAGTGAGAAATACCGGTGTTAAAAAGCAGAGTGAAGGGGTAGAGAGCGGAGGTCAAAATCTAGATAAAAAAAGGAGTAAATCTCACAGTTTTCCGGGCCAAGGATGCGGCAGGCCTTGGGAACCACGAGTGCAAAGGCCCTGAGGCGGGTCTCTGCCTGGTGTGTTGGAGGAACAGGACATGTCAGGGTGAATGGAGCCGGGTGAGCAAGGGTGAGCGCGGGGAGCTCAAGTCAGAGCAGTGGCCGGGAGCCGCGTCCCGTGGGACCTTCCTCGGTGGGTCTCTGTGAGGACTTTGCCTTTTATTCTGAGGGGCAGGAAGCCTCTGGAGGGCTGTGAAGCAGGTGAAACGACTTACTTCAACGTTTCTTCTTCACGTTTCCTCCTAGAAGGCTTGCTCGGGCTGCTGGGTAGAGGGGTAGGGAGGGCAGGCAAGAGTAGACGCAGAGAGACTGGTCTGGAAAATGTGTGAGATACGGGTGCCTGGCCTGGGGCTGTGGCCCCCAGCCGTGGTGGTTCTGCTCCCCAGGGCCCACTCGGCAACAGTGGGAGATGTCTTCGGTTGTCACGGTTGGGGCCCGGGTGCTGCTGGCACCTCGTGGGCCGTGGTGAGGATGCCGCCTGCTGACAAAGAATGATCCGGCCCCAAGCGTCCTAGTGCCTGGCCGGACACCCTGGCCTGGGAGGTCAGCGGGTAGGAGGTGAGCAGGGGTCGGGTCAGGTGCTGTGCAACTAGCAGAGCAGACAGGACTCGCCGACGGTCTGGGATTGGCGCGTCTGACAAAGAGGCGTCACAAATGGCCCCAGCCCATTTCTGAGCTCCGTCGTGCACTGCACGGCACCACCGGCTGTGTTATTAGAATCACTGGCGTCTGACCTCAGGGCTTCTGAGCCATCGTCACCGCCCCTGATTTTGCCTGGTCTTTGGCCTTCCGTGGGCCGGCAACAGTGCCACACAGGGGAGGAGAGAACAGTGTGAAAAAGAAGCCAGTGGTCGACGGTTCTGGCTCGAAGGGCCTCGGTGTCATTGGCCAAGGTAATGCTCGTGGCGCCTCCGTGATGGATCCGTCCACGCTGCGCTCCCATGAAGAACCACCGCGTGAACCTTTTCAGGCGTGGTGTCCCTGTGCTTGATTTTCTGCTTAGTAGAACTTCGTGTTTTCAGCAGGTGTATTAAAATGCTTACTTCCCAGACGACGCTTAAGTTGTTTTTTACAATTTCACAGTCTTTGTGTGCTAACTCCAGAAGCTGGCCAACCGTGAGTCTGGTTCTGTGGCCTGTTTTTTCTCCAAATTCTAGGTAGGATACTGCGTCGTGGGCGCCACGGTTAGGAACCTCTGAGGAGCGTCTGGCTCTCTGCTCGCGGGCCGTTTGCGTGATCTTGTGGTCTCTTGGTGGTAGGACTGGTCTCCTTTGGCTTTGCTCTTGGTGCTGGGATGTGACTCTGAATCCTGGAACATGATCGCCTCCCCGGGAGTCCTGTGGGAAGTCCAGGTGTGAAGCCGGCCCTTTCATGTGGCGTGCCGGCGCTCCCTGCCTGTGTGCACGCCGGCGGGCGGTGTCGAAATCTCCGTCCGTCCTTTCGGCTGCTGTCCCCCCGGGGCCCCTTGGAGTCCCGCCCCACGCGTGTCTGGGGCAGGGGCCAGCCAGGGGCTCCGAGACACTGCTCAGCCGAGGCGGTTGCTTCTCCCCTGAGCGTGGCCCCCGCGTGCTGCGTGGCTTGGGCTGTGCCCGCGGGGCTCTCCGGGTGGAGCAGACTCACCCAGACTTGCTCCATCGAGGGTCACATCCCTTCCCTTTCTGTTTGTATCTGTTCTCTTCTTGGTGCCTTTACGTGGCTGTGTTTTGCATTTTGTCCAGAACTGACTACCATTATTGATAAAAGGACTAGCGGGATACAAATTATTCTGTCATCACCGGAATCCAGAAGTGCCAATCAATAAGTACATTGTAGGTAAAAAGACAAACAACAGATTGGCACGGTTTGCATAGGACCCAGGATGAGAACGAAGACGTCTTTCCCGAAGATCCTTTCTGTGCCACGACGAGAGATCCTGACTGCTCTGAACCTGCCAGCGGGGGCGGTGGTGCCTGGGGGTGCGGGCAGAGCCATCGGAATCCGAGGAAACAGGATTTGCGTGGAATGGAACTGGCTGGCGGATGGAGCACCTGGGCCGCGAGCCCTTTGTGCCCGTGGGAGGGGCCGCCCTCGCCGCCAGGCAGAGACCCTCACTTGTGCTGCTTCCCTCTGAACGGGACAACACCGGCTACGACAGCCACTACCAGGAAAACGACTTCCTGAATGCTGGCGGGCGAGGCTCGGCCCCCAGAGGTGCCCAGGGGTCCCCGGCAGCCGACTGCACATGCCCCCACCCTGGAGGCCGCCCTCGGGAGCCGTGTGTCCTCCCAGCCTCCGTCCCTGCTGCTCTCCGACCCTCCCTGTGTCTCCCTCTCGCCCTTCCCACCCGGCCACCTCGGACGTGTCAGGCCTCGTCTGCCTGGCCCTGGGGCCCGTCCCTCCCCGTGGGCCCACTGCTCTCCGACCTTCCCCCACGTCTCGTGTGCAGCTAGTGATGCACAGAAACGCTTCTTGGAGCTGTGCGTGTTTGCCATTTGTCTGCTCGGCTTGTTGGGGGCCCATTTGAGCTTAACTTGTAAAACAGGCGTTTCCCGTGTCTCCCACTAAGCGCTGCACGTTGCCTTGTTACTCAGTGTTGCTTCTGCCCTGCTGGGTGCCAGTGGCCGGGACAGGAGGCAGGAAGGGGGGCTCCCTGCCCCCCCCCCCCCCCCCCCCCCGCCATTGGTGCACGCACGGCAGACGGGGCCTGCGGGGTCCAGTCTCACTGTGACGCTCGAGTTCATGGCAACAAAGTGATATGATTGAATTCGCTTTTCTGTGTCTCCTCCCACGTTTTTCTCTGGGGTGTCCGGAGATCACTCGCACTCCTTCCGGCACTCTCCCCAGCTTGCTTTCTTACCAAGGAGAAAAGGAAAGGGAACCCGGTCTGTCCACTCTTTGGGTGGATGCCTCCTTTCCTGTCTCACCTGGCCCCCGCATCCTGTTTCTCTCCTTCCGCTGATGGTGGGGGAGGGGGCAGTGAGGATTTCTTCGTAAATCTGAAAGGTCCAGAATTAAGAAAATCCGGGTTTATATTTTCAGCCTCCCCCTTTATCCCCGTGCTTATTGGGGGCCCATGGTACTTCTCGTTAAATGTCCCCGTGCTGGGACTCCGTGTCCTCTGTCCCTGCGCTGTGACTGACTGTCTCTCCTCTCTCTGCAGGTTTTGCATGCAGAAGTGCGTGAGTCTGGTGCCCGGGGTCACACTGGATTTAATAGAAAAGTAAGTAAGATATTGGCGCTGTGCGGCTCTGGGGCCCGCGGGGTTCTCGGAGGTGCTTGCTGTCAGCCTGCGGGTGCGGACGTCTGCCCCTCGGGGAGGGCCGTGTGCCGACGGTGGCACTGGTGGTCGGCGTAGCACACGACTAAGTGTGGGGCCGCCACGGAAGAAAAGCGGAATCCACGTGAACATTTGCGGATACTCCCAACACAACGCCAAAGCAGAGGCTGCTCCCAGAGGTCTCTCTGCTCCCCAAGTGGGTTAGTGAGGTCATGGCCTAGCGCTGACCCCCCTGTCCCTCAGCCCCCCTTTCACGTGCTGAACTCCAGCGCCCCCATCCTGTGTGCTGTCTCGGGAAAGGCCGAGGTCCAGGCGGGCGCGCCCCGGTCGTGTGGCCTCTCCCTGCCCTTCCCGGTCGACGGCGGCCCGTCTGCCTCCTGTCGTGGACACTCTTGTGTCTGCTCTGCGCGTGCGTGTGTGTGTCGACTCACCTTGGCTCGTCCTGATTCACCTACTGGTTGTGCTGAAACCTTCCACTCTGGACACCGTTTCTTCCAGAATTAACTACAAGATAATAGTTCTCTGAGTCCTGATAGAGAAAAGCGTGTGCGAGAACGGCGAGGGCCTGAGTTTAATTAAGTCAGGCAGGAAAGGCAAATATACCCCTGGGTTTTTCTCCTGGAAAACTACTTGCCTGCGTGTCAGGGGAAACAGAAAACTACTTGCCTGCGTGTTAGGTGTAAACGCCCACGTCAGGGACACGAAGGGCGCGGTCCTGCCGGGGATCGCGGGCACTCTGTGGCAGCAGAAAGGCCACGGCAGTGCCGCTCGAACCGGCACAGACAGTGTGCCCAGCTCTGTGGGCAGAAAAGCAAGTGAACAGTGTGCACAGGAGGCCTCCGAGGGCGTTTTCACGACCGCATGTCCGTCTGCAGGCGGGAGTCCAGGTAAGACAGTCCCTCACCGTGCGGGGTCTGGGGGAGCAGCTGTGCGGGCGGGCGTGGCTTCCTGCCCATCGTCTGAATTTTCTACGCAGGATGCACATAAACATAAGTGGAGAAGAATTAGGACGCCCTCAAACAATTCAGTGAATATAATTACTCCTCGTAGGTTTTGAGTGAGTGTCTAAGGGCATGTGACTGGCCTGCTTCCCTTTGGGAACTTTGTTCACGAACAGGACGGTGATGGGGGCAGGCGTGAGTGAACAGGACGGTCATGGCGGCAGGGGGAGTGAGCAGGACGGTGATGGGGGCAGGGGTGAGTGAGCAGGACGGTCATGGGGGCAGGGGTGAGTGAGCAGGATGGGTGGTGGCGGCAGGGGTGAGTGAGCAGGATGGTGATGGCGGCAGGGGGGAGTGAGCAGGACGGTGACGGCAGCAGGGGTGAGTGAGCAGGACGGTCATGGCGGCAGGGGGGAGTGAGCAGGACGGTGACGGCAGCAGGGGTGAGTGAGCAGGACGGTCATGGGGGCAGGGGTGAGTGAGCAGGACGGGTGATGGGGGCAGGGGTGAGTGAGCAGGACGGTGATGGGGGCAGGGGTGAGTCAGCAGGACGGTGATGGCGGCAGGGGTGAGTGAGCAGGACCGTCATGGCGGCAGGGGTGAGTGAGCAGGACCATCATGGCGGCAGGGGCGGCGGAACACCGCTCGGCGCCATCAGGGCGGACGGGAAGGTCTGCAGCTGTTCTGCTGAAGAGCAGGTCTTGGTTATTGCGAAACCAGCCCACGGCTGACAGCGACCCAGAAGCCTCCATTAGGGATGCCACGGCAGGGGTGCAGGGTGAGGGCGAGCTGGAGTCACCGGAGCAGGAGAACCAGGGGTGCGGCCACAGGTGGGAGAGCCAAACGTGTTCCGTCGTCGGGCAGGACAGGGTCCCGGAGCCGGGACCGCAGAAGGGTGCCATCGGTTCGCAGGGGTCAGCGAGGGCGCGAGCGGCTGGGCCTCGTGCACAGTGCTGTGCACACGGGCGGGCCGGTGTCTCTCGTCCCGTCACAGCTGCTCAGTGCACCCGCTCTCCCCTCATGCGCAGGGCTGCAGCCTGGCGGGAGGCGGTGATGTCCAGCTGTCGTGATGGTGCTCGAGGCCGGCTCGTCTGCTCGGTGCACTCCCCTCTCCCAGTCTGTGCTGTGCGGTCCCTGCCGGCTCTCCCGCACTCGTGGTCGGGAAGCGAGGGCCGCACCGTGGCACACGTGGGCTGGGCGGTGTGGGCCGGTACCCGAGCTCGTGCTGCCACATGCAGACCGCTTCCGGCAAGTTCTCAGCAGTCACGTTTTATCACGGGTTGGTTGCTTCCGGTGGCCCATTCAGAGAGGTCTCGGCTTACGCTTTCCTGAGCTGGTTTCCCTCCCTGCCCCCCTGTGCCTGGGGCAGACTCGTGCGCTCCTCTCCCTCAGGCAGGGCGGGAGGCAGCTGTCCAACGTCTCTGTGTGGTGGCCAGTGTCCCGCGCGCCCTCCGGCCGGGGAGCCCCGTGCGCACCGCCCTGTCCCGTCCCGTCGCCCGGCACGGTCGTGGCTGCTCTTGACCAAACTCCGCTCGAGATGAGTCACGTGGACGCAAGGGCGTCGCATGTTCTGAGTTCTCCAGAGGAGAGGAGCTACCAACGCTTAAAATACAAATTTCTTAAGTTATTGGGTTGAACCTCTTTTTTTTTTTACCGGGAGGAAGCTGGCGTTCAGTTCAGCTCTGCCTCCTGGCTGGCGTCTTCCAGCCCGTGGCACGGCCGGCGGGGCAACCAGGCCCTGGAGGGACGCTTTTCCTCCAGGCAGGCCTCCCTGTACCCAGACCGCGTCGGGACAGCCAGCTCCCGTCCTGTCACTCTCCCAGACGTAAAATGTGTGCGGCAGCTTGACACCCTCCGCGACGACCCACAAAAGAAAACAATTGTTGAACTCAACCTCATAAAAATTTAAAATGTTTACTCCCTGGAAGACACAGCTCAGACCGTGGAGAGACAAGCCGCCGACTCGGGGAGAATGTTTGCAAATCACACAGCCAACAAGGGACTTGTATCCAGAGTCTATGAAGATCTCTCAAAACAAAAGTAAGAAAAAAAAAAAACCTCAAAACTGGACAAAGGACCTGAAAAGAGACTTTGCCAAAGAGAATTGAAGGACGGCCAGGAAGCCCGCACAAAGATGCTCGAAACCGTTAACCGTTAGGGAGACACACATTGAAACCACAGGGTTAGTTAAACAAAAGGCTGACGACACGCGGTGCTGGCGGGGGTGCGGGACGACCGGAAATCCCACGTGCCCTTCCGGGAGGCGAGGTGGTGCCGCTGTGCAGGTAGGTGGGCCTCCCACGGGGTCTGGGGCCCCACTCCCGGAAATCTGTCCTGTAGGAACGAAACTGTCCGCACGGAACCCGTATGCCAGTATCTGTGCGACTTACCGTCATCGCCCCAAACTGATAACAGCCAGATGTCCTCGGGGGTGAAGGAATGGGCAGAATGTGCCAGCAGGAAATGGGGGGACATTTCATACGTGACACATGGTGGCCCCAGAAGCACTGTGGGGTCACAAACAGCAGCTCGGGGGCGGGGGCGGGGGGCGACACCTGGTCTAATTCCATTCACGTGACCATCCGGAAAAGACAAAACGATCGGGTCGGAGAACGGGTCGCTGGTTGTAGGGTCAGGAGTGTGAGGGAATGTGGGGTGATGGGAGGTTGGGCGTCCTGATTGTGGGGGTGGCCGCTCAGATCTGCACGCCCACAAAAGCCAGCTTACTCTACGACAGTACGGTTAATAAAATTGACATGTCACGTGGGGAAGTCAGAACTCCATAGGGGAGCACAGGTCGGAGTGACTCAGGGAAGGCCCGGCAGGCACGGCCCGGCTGGAGGAGCCGGGGCGGAAGGATCTGAGACCAGGACTCGGAGAAGTGGCTTTTCTTCTGTGAGATGTGCCTGCTGTTCCCCGGGAAGGAGGCTTCACTCGCTTCATGAAGGCTGGCTAATGAGGGTTGAAAAGTGGAAGCGAACACCCTTAATCATGAAGATTTGGGTATTTTTCGTCGAGCATTATTTTCCGAAGTCATGGTGTCAGGGTTTGTGACCGCCAGCGTCCTTCCCGGAAAGCCTTAGTTTTACATCCGTCCCGCGCCGTGGGCGACCGTGCAGCCCTGCGCTTCCGGAGGCCAGCACGCACCGTGCTCCCCTCTCCTCCCCATCCTACTGTGCCGAGGGGTGCTCCACGGTCGGTTAAGTGTGGGCAGGCTGGATGTGTGGTTTTTCTTTTTCTTTTAATTTAAGGAGAAAAGCATCGTCAGTGTCACCAGCAGCACCTTCCACGCTGCTTCCTGAGCGCCTCCAGGGGCAGTAGAAGGAACGTGGACCCAGAGCGGTCGGCCGCGGCTCTGAGGGCGAGGCTCGCAGGATGGCCCTCCGGCCTCCATGGCGGCTCTCCCTGGGCGCCAACCCAGCCCCTCGAACACGGGTCCTCACCCCGCCTTCCGGGAGCCACGGCGTTTCTGGATATCATCTGGGTTTCGGGTAAAGCCTGGAGGAGGAGAGTGTTCTCACGCGGCTACCCTGGTCACGATCAGTGGCTACCGCTGGTGACACTGGGGGAGCTCTGTGCAGTGGAGGAGAGGTGATCCCGGTTTCGGACAAGCTCAATGTCCGGAGTGACCGGGACAGGCTGCGTGCGTCCAGAGCGAACCTCACTTTTCCCCGGGGCATCGAGGACGGGGCTTCGTTTGGGGGTCGTGGCGGGGACGGGAGAGGGCAGACCAGGCCTCCACTGCAGCAACTGTTCGCGGTGCGTGGGCTTGGGCCTGCGTCACTGCCCTCCGGACACAACCCCGCGTGGTTGAGCGGAGGCGCACCGGGCCTCTCCCCGCCTGAGACGCTGCGCCCCGTGGTCATCTGGCCACGGCGAGGCTGCGTGTGAGTGTTGGGCTGTGTTTATGCTGTGCCGGGACGGGTTCCAGACTTCGGGATTCCGCAGCGCCGGGGAAATACCTGGACGTGAGGCTCCAGGAGACACAGCCGCCGGACCTGT